GAGTCTGGGGCAGGTGAAGTCATTTGCCCAAGTGTCTAGTCAGTAAGTGGTGAAGTCAGGATTTGAACCAAGCTTCGTCCACCTCTAAAGCTTGGCAGAACGTGGTTGTTTCCAAAATGCTAGAAGGGAACTGGCATCCCAAGGAGATCCCTGCCCTTCTCCCTCCGCCGGGGGTCTTTGCAGGTGGGAGTCTGAGCCTCCCGGGATGTGTGGCCTGGGGAAGTGAAAATGCAGCGGCGAGCAAGAATCCAGAGGCTGAGTGTGACTGAGAGGCGCTGGGTGTGAGCCTCGGAGACGCTCCAAGGCCCAGATGCAGTGAGACTTGTCGGTGGTGGTTCTCCTGAGACAGCGTCCATCCGTCTGTCCATCCAGGGCTGTCTGGAGCCTCCAGCAGGAGCAGCAGAGGTAATCACCCCTCCCTCCAGGCTGCTGGCTCGTGGCCTCCTCTCCGTGGCTGGAGTGCCACCCCACAAGGGCGGAGGGTCTGCCTGGGTCCAGGAGATGCCCCGAGTCCTTTAAACTCAGGCGCTTCATCTTACCACCGCCGCACCCTCTTTGACGTCCTGGAACCCCTCACCAAAGGTGTGTGAGTTGTTCTCGGATCACACGTGGCTTTAGCCAAACATCCTTGTTTGAAAGAGCATGACCTTCCTGCCTCGGGGTCAGTCATGGAGACAAGGTTTCTGTCTGGAGGAGCGCGGCAGGTGCCTGGACCTGCAGCATCGCAGCCCGGCTCGGGGCTGGACCACGCGGTGTCAGGTGCTGCGGACGTCTCTCCGCGGCTCCAGGGGCTGCACGACGTTGCCCGAGGCCCGACAGGAGGGCCGCAAAGCCGACAGCCCCACGTCTAAGCTTCGTAACTGTTGGGTGTGGAGAGCTGGCGAACCTCCGGACACTGTCTTTTTACCGTCCCCGACAAAGGCGGCAGACCCGCACCTCCTACCTTTCTGCAGACACGGCACCTGTCACCCAGAATGCTCAGATCTTTGGTCACCCAGTGTAGCAGTGTTCACTGAAACTTCGAGAAAGCTACGCTCCCGGAGCTCGTGGTGCAGTTTTGGTTTGTTCCTTTTATGAAGACATTTCCACATGTGTTATTTAGGGACGTTCACTTTGAGGCGAGGCATTTCCTGGCCGCACAGTCGTGTGACTGAGCTGCAGTCCACCTGGCAGAGCGGACAGCCCCTCCCCCTCCAAGTCAGACCACCCGGCTTTCCACGGCACCCTCGGCTTGCGCCGCACTCAGGAGAGAACTGGTAAGTGTGCATTATTTTTAAAGTAATTATTGTAATTGAAGAAAAGACGTTCAATTTCATAAAAGTTAGTGAAATGCAAGCCTGTGAAGCAAATTCTGGTCTTGGACTGTTCTCCATCACCGACTCCGCATTACCGTTCAGAGAAACCAAACCAGCCGAGTCGGGGGCCGGGGGAGTGGCGTGGCTGTCTCGGATGAGCACGAGGGACAATACAGAGTCCCTGTCACAGCTGTGAGTGCTTCCAACAACCGCCCTCACACAGGAGGCCCCTGGGAGCCACAGTGGGAGGCCAGATACATCCAGGGTAACCAAATCTTCCAGCCTTTTCCCCTAAGCTCACGCACGATCTCACCGGGAAGACAGCAAGTCAACACAACAAGCCTCACAGGGCACAAACGCACTTTACACGGGCTTGTTTCACTGTTCCACAGGCCGTTCGCCACCCTTGTCCGGTTGTTCCCTTGAAACCTGCCGGGAGTGGGGCTGCCTTCCTGCAAACACACCCCCACCCCTCCTCCCCCTCCGGGATACACGTAAAGGGCCCTGCAGAGACATGCAGGCAAGTTCTGCTCAGGGAGGACCCCAGCTCTGGGTGCGGCAGAGATGAATGAATGAATGAACGAGAATGAATGGGAGGCTGGTGGACAGAGAAACCGCCTGTTGGAGAGGCAGAGCCGGAAGGTCGAAGACGCTCAGACCCCTGCCGGGAGGAGCTCCCCTGTCTGCCATCTTGTGTGAGCAAGAAGTGAGCAAACAGCTGTTGTGTCTGAGCCGCCACACACATTTGGGCTTGCATGTTATAGCAGCTTACAGTGCGTTGCACCTTAACTCAGACTCATCGATGTAAAAAGTCAGGAAGAACGGATTACTCATCAATGTAAACATGAGAAGCTACAGAGCCCACGCCTGTCTCCAGCCTCCTTGATACATAATGCTCAGGGTGTTCTGACCACTTAACTGAAAGTAAATATTTGAAAGGAAATTCAGCACGCTTCCCTCCCCTAAAGCCATCAGTTAGCTGCCACCGGACAGAATAAAGGCAGCAGTGACCCGCAGTGGAGGGGGGCGGGGGGGGCGGACGTGAAGAGCCTGTGTGCCGAAATGAGCGTGCCCAGATTCACAGTGACGCCTGGCACAGTCCCTGGAAGATCTGGGGGTGGGGCAGGGAACAGTCACCTCAGACAGGATGGCCCTGCAGGGGAGGGGTGCTCCGCAGTCCTGCCTGGCAGATGCCAGCTGGCAGTTCCTCATCTGAACGTGAAGAATGATGAACACACGCCCAGGGCGAGGGCACACACCATCGGATGTCTGCTTGCTCACGTCTCTGGCCAGAAACAATGGTGGCAAGAATGGGGTCACTGAGCCCGACGCTGGTATCTGGGTGGTGCTCGCAAGGACACTAAGTTGAGGTTTGAACAACTGAATTCCAACTGAACCAGTCCTTCTTTCCTGGAATCAGGAGGGGGTGGGGGCTGGCCCAACACCAAACTCACACAAACACACCACACCAAGAAGCAAACTTTCTTTTACCCTTCAGCTCCGCAGTGAGGCCAAGTTCATTTTCACTCTGCCAAGTGTAGGGTAAGAGTGCCAGGACTCTCTCTGGCTCATCTCTTCCTTTCAGGACCGGCTCCAGCAACCTCTCCAAGGCCCCCATGGGGCAGACCAACCCCAAGACTTCGGGCAAAGCAAATGTACTAGGCGACTCCCCTAACCAGAAAGGCATGGCCCTCAGTTAAGTCCGTCAAGTGGCCTCAGAGGGCCAGTTCCAGACACCGAGGAAAGGATTTAAGAAAGTGAAATGAAAGTGCCTGGGCTTCCTCCTGTTTACTCACTGAACCGAGAGACCTGGTTCCCCAGTGAAGAACTTCCTGGAGGGAGGGGCTCCACCCGAGCTGCAGAGACCAAAGGGCAGTCTCTCCAGCCCACGCAGAGAGAGCGATGGTAACAGAAGCCAGTTCAGAACTGGCTGCAACTGTTCTGCCATTAGTAACGCCTCGGTTAACACCACACTCTTAATGCAGAAGTGCTCGCCTGTCCTCATGGACCACCAGAGACATTTCAGACAATCCCCGGAGCTTCCACACAGCTCCCAAGTGCGGTGTGTTCAGGAGTGGGCACGCACTTTCTCACACACGCAATCACTCTCATTCTCATTGGCTACACTACTCTTTATTCTTTCTTTCTTTTTGCTTTGTAATCAGTACCGTATTTTGCCATGTATTAAGGGCACTTCTTGCCTAAATTTTCGAGGGAAAAATAAGGATGCGCATTAGACATGGGAATCACCACCCAGATGTGGGTGGGCATTGCACACGGGTGCACATTATACACGGTAAAATACGGTACGTTAGGAGACATTCATACATTTAAATTACTCTTTATTCTTATTTTACCTTTTTATTTATTGATTTGAGAGAGAGAAAGGGAGACAAGAGACGGAGAGAGAACCCCAGATTTGCTGTTCTGCCTACTTAGTCACTCACTGGCTGGTTCTTGCATGAGCTTGACCCCGAACGGAACCGGAAACCCTGGCGCATTGGGAACAACGCTCCAATCAACGGAGCCACCCTAGCTGGAGCATAAATTACTCTTTATTCTTACATTCTTTTTCCCTTCAACGGGAATCTTAAAAACTCAGTCTTCAATTACAGTAGCTACGACCACCGTGTTTTAAATGACGTCTCTAAATGTTCTGTCCACCAGGCAGAAAGGAACCGGGAAGGTTTCCTATCTTGGATTTATAACGATGGCACTTCCCAATGCGCCCCAGTTCTCCTCCCCGGCCCAGTTACATCCCTTAGCGTATGATTTACCCTGATTGACCCACCTGCCACATACAAACGCCCCTCTCAGGAGCAGCAAAAGGGCAGCCGAAGACCCGAGTCGCTCCCCGAACCGCTTTACAAAACCCAAAACCTGTGCCAGTCTCAGGAAAGGCCTCGTATCGAGCTCTCACAAGTAACCAGGTGATTTACTGTCTCCATAGTCCTGGCTCACGAACGGCTGGGGTGTGGCGGTCCCACCCCCAACCAGAACAGCCCGAAATTCAGAGATGTCCGGACGTCGGGCTCCGCCGACCCCTTCAGCGGTCAAGGTCCACTGCACTAACCGGGGCCGGGGGAACAGGGAGCCTCGGCGGCCTTCCTTCCGCCTGACGCAGTCACTTTCTGTTAATGTTCCTGAACTTCAGGGGAGAGAGAACGGAGCTACGGAGGGGGGGGGAAGATGATCCTCTGGATTGTTGCAACACTAAAACCTATTTCCTTGCACCTCTCCCTGGCCCAGGCGAGGAGTTGGGGGCCAAAAGGAAAGTCCCACCCCACGCCCTGTCTCCCCGAGCGCCGCCAATAATCCAGGTAAAGGCCCTGCGCGCACCGCGCGCCACCGCGGCAGGTACCGGGCTCGGCTTTCCGGCTCCTCTTTCCTTTCCCGATCTGCTCCCGACTTATGTCCCAAACTTCTGGGCTCCCGGCTCGAGGACACTCCCACGTGCCGCGGCCTCCGCCCAGGGCGAGGTCGCTCGAAATCCAGGAGGGCACAGCCTCCGCGTCCGACGCAACGCGCCCGGGAATCCGGCGGTGCGGGGGACCCGGTGCCGTCCGCGCTCCGGAACTGCTCTTCCCCCCGCCCCGACCCCGTGCCCCGCGCCCCCGGCCCGCGTCCGTCCGCTCCTCGCCCGGCCCCCGCTCTCCGGCCACCTTCGCCCCTCCGCGCCGTGCGCACTCGCAGCCCCGCACTCACCCGCTCCGCCTGTCAGGAGCACGGCTCCCAGCAGCAGGACCCCCAGCAGTGGGAGTGTGACCCCGCAGTTCAGGCCGGCCATGGCTCCGGGCGCCTCGGCCTCGGCGGGGAAAGCGACTGTGGCCCGTGGTCCGGGGCGGCGGCCGCGGAAGCCTGGCACCGGCAGCGCTGCGCTCCGCCCCGGCTCTCACACCTGCGCGCGGGCGGGCGGGCCGGCCGGCCGAGGTTCCGCCCTGCGCCGCAGGAGCTGGAGCTGGCGGGACCTGTCCCTTCTCCTCGCCCCTCCTACCCTTCCTGCGGCAACACCCGCCCCTTCCGAGCCCAGGAGGCTGGGACTTGTCTTCACCTTCCCGGGTCTAGTCCTCACTGAAGGTTGAGAGTGACCCGTTTGTTGGAGGTGGTGTTTGTTTTTCCCCTTTGGTCTAAAGCCGTGGTGGTCGCCCTTGACAGAAGCCAATCTGCCTTCCCTTCGCCGTCCAGAAGGACTGCGCTCCCCACTTTGCACCGGTATATTTGCGGATCCCCAAGCCCCGGCTTCCACCTCCCTGCTCCGTGTTCGGCCACCTGACTTGGTGGGGCGCACTGGCCCCGAAAGCCGGCGCCACAGCTTCGAGCCTGCCACCCGCTCGCCGGACTTCACCTGCTGTGTTTCTAACGCCCACAGGCGACCCTTCCGCATCACAGATGAATCAGACTTGCTGCGAGTTACAAAACCTGCCCAGACTCTCTGGGCCAGTGAGTAACTTAGGGGCAGGAGTTGATGGCGCAGGATGGGCTTTCCACGAACGAAGGTGCTTCGTGAAATTTTTGAAAAACGATTCAGTGACTTAATGAATGAATGCATGAGGCCGGAAGCGACCAAGAGAAGAAAACTTAACGGGCCCAAGGGGGCCCCTCTCTTCTGTTGTGAGTGGGTCGTCCCTGCGGCCCGCGTGGGCGGCGTGCAGGCCGATCTCTGGCTTGTAAGAACGAAGGGTGCTGGGCTCCTTTCCCTCCTCCCAGCTGCCCGTGTGCCTTTGGTCTCCGGGTTCTCCTTCTATTCTCTAGGCCACGCACCAAGTTCAGGGTTACAGAGCCACAGGGAGAGGCAGTGGGTGGTTTACGGACTCAGAGCTGGCAGACCAGGGATTTGCCAAAATGCCCCCATGGGGCCTGCCTACCTGTGCCCGGGGCAGGCGGAGCACCCTGGGAGGGCTGGGACAGGAACCGGAGCTTGTGCAAGCCTCAGTCTACAGTCCAGCCCCAACTCCGGTTTCATTCTTCCAGAAACCGAACATGTTCAGGCTGCTCCAGCTCTCACTGTGAAGGGGGTGAGAAATCATCTCTTCGGAGGGTCTCCCCCTTCCTTCTCTGTGTGTCCAGTGGTGAGAATTTAGCAAACTCTGTGCTCAGGGAGCACCCAGTCCGTGACGGAGAAGGAGATGTCCACGCCAGAGGACGTGACCCAACCCAGGCCCTGGGCCTGGGCTGTGAACAGGAGGGGCCCTCAGTGTGTCTCTTCTAGTCCGAGGTCCCCATCAGGCAGACAGATGAGGAAACTGAGTCCCGGAGAGAAGGGGAAGGGTCAGAAAAGAAGGGAGACTCTTGGTTCTCCCCCCAGAGTGGAGGACAAATTCATCAAGAAAAAGAAATCGAACGTTCTTTTAAAATGTTGATGCAGGCTGGTATGGCTCAGTGGCTAGAGTGCTGGTCTGCGAACCAAAGGGTCGCCGGTTCCACTCCCAAATGTTGATGCCGACCAAAAGAGTAAAAGCAGATTTTGTCTGTTTTTCTCATTCTAAGCAGGCATCTATGCCCCAGCCTCTTTTCCTAGCATCCAGAACACCATGTTTTCCCAATAATATTGATGATGATGAGGAGGAGGAGGAGGAGGAGTGGCAGTATGTTGAGTTGAAATATTGGGAATATTGTTTAACAAGTCTAATCTTAAAGAACAAGTTACTTCATTTCTCCAGAGTTTTGCTTACCGGGCCTCTCCGAGACAGTGAAACTAACTTTCTGTAAATAACGCGAGAGCCAGTAATTCTCAGATGTCGAGATGGCCCCAAACAACGGCGGCAAAGAAAAAGAGATGAAAAAGTAGGGAGGCGGCTCAGCGATTCCACATGTTAAGAAATATTCAAATGTGGGCAGTGAACTGTCTTTGTGTGCTCATCACAGCCTGTCTAATAATGCTTAAAAAGCCCTACATGTGTTACTATAGAGAGTGGTTAAATAAATCGTGAGCCAAAAAAACAAAAGGCAGGGCGGCATCCCAGCATCCTCTGCACAACAACCCAAGTGCATAGCTGAAGTCAGGATATCTTGAGGTAACAGCGTCTTGCAAAGACGAGCGTGAGGAGCATGAGCAAAGATTGCTAAGCTATGGACGTGTTTGTCTTTGCAAATAGGACTCAACAGGAGTCAATTTGAAGATTATTTCTGAACTGGAAAAAAAATCCAGGCAGGTATAGTCTGTTGCCAAAGAAAAATGACACATTGAAGGGTAAGTTTCAAAGCAGACAACCCCATGTAGTATTGACCCGGGAGCTCCAAAACAGAGATTTTTTTTTTTCAAAGGCATAAGCCCACAGATATGGGGAGAACAGAGAGAAGACAACAGCGAATCCTCCAGGAAGCTGGAAAGCAGATAGGCAAATGGCAGTAGCCTTAGCAGCATGGAGACAGCGGAGACCTAAGCCAGAAGTGGGGGGAATTGAGAAACAGCATGATGTATGCAGTGGAATTCTTTCAAAATAAGACAACTCAGCAACTCGTAGCACGGGATGTTCTGGGACAGGAGGGGCTAGAACAAGGAAGTCTGGGAGGAAGCTGTTTTAGAAATGCAGTGGTAAGATCCCTGGAAACTGTCCTTCACTCCTCCAGGCTGGGCAACTGTCCTCCTCCACCCCAGGGGAAATCAGAGGTGCTGTTTTCTAGAAAGGTTAAAACTGAGGGATCTGGCCCTGACTGGTGTGGCTCCGTTGGTTGGGCGTCATTCTGCTGGTTCGATTCCCAGTCGGAACACATGCCTGGGTGCGGGCTTGGTCCCCAGTTGGGGCACATTTGAGAGGCAACCAGTCAATATCTCTCTCTCACACACATTGATGTTTCTCTCCATTTCTTTCTCCATCCCTTTTCGGCTCCCTTCTCTCCAAAAATAAATAAGTAAAATCCTTTTAAAAATTCTGAAGTAATATGCCCTGTCTGGTGTAGCTCAGTGGATTGAGCATAGGCTGCGAACCAAAGGGTCGCCAATTCAATTCCCAGTCAGGACATATGCCTGGGTTGCAGGCCAGTTCCCCAGTGGGGGCCACATGAGAGGCAACCACACATTGATGTTTCTCTCTCTTTCTCTTTCTCCCTCCCTTCCCCTCTCTAAAAATAAATTAAAATCTTTAAAAATATTTTTTAAAAATTCTGAAGGAAAATAACTTCCAACTTAGAACTTTATATCCAGCCAATCTGCCAATTAAGTGAAAATATTAAAAACAAAATGGGGGTGGGGGACTTGTAGACACCCAAGATCTGAAAAAAAACCACCTCAAACAACAAACGCCCACACACCCTCTCTCGGGACAATATTGGAGGATGTGTTCCAGGGGAACAGAAAGAAGTAGATGCAGGTTTACGGGGCTGAACTTGACACCTAGGAAAATGAATCCAGTTATGCTAGAAAACCAGGTGAGAAAAATGATTATTTATTTAGAATGAGAAAAGAAATCACGACAAACTACAAATCTGAAAAAGATGACAATGGTCACGAACATCACAGAGTCCAGAAAAAGTAACAATGTCTTTACTATGGACTCGCCAGTACAGCTCTGTACCATTGATTCGTTCGTGCCGGGTTGCCTCACGGATGCAGGTACTGTTTCCCCTGGACCCGCCAGACTTCTGCAGGAGATGTATCAGATAAGCCCAGATGCGATCTTGATTTATTTAGATGCATAAAATGTGAATTCACACAGGAGAAATACTCACCGTTCACAGGAACACTGAATGCAGCTGCGGAAATTCATCTGCAAATGCGGAGATCCTTACAAGTTCTATGTGTGTGATTCCTGTTATATGTAAAGAACTAAACAGTATGGTACATGTGTAGTTTTACAAGCTGCATTATTCATTTATTTCTGACCCAAAAAACCCCTCCATTTTTGATAAAATTTATGCATTACTAGCCTTGGATAGAGAACTGAATGTTCTGCTTAGGTTTTCAGTTTTCGTAACTGGAGGAATTGTCCACAGACCAGCTTCTGGCCCGTGTCTCACGTCAAAGTTGTTTCCTCCTCCCTGCCATCCACCTGCCGCTGGTGTCAGGCACTGCACAGTGGGCTCGTAATGTGACACCACGTCCGGGTGACACCACGTCTGGCCTCACTCCTCTCTCGGTCACCTCGCCAGTGAGTCAGCCCAGCAGTTGGGAGGAGCATTCGTGGACGCCACCGCTACACAGCAGGGCAAGCAATGACTTAACCGCACGTGAAAGTGACCGAGAATTACAGGAATACCTCCCACCACACCCCGGTTAAATGTATCTCCAGTCCCGCTTCCCCGGCCGGGTCCCCAAATGCCCTCAGCCACGCCGTGCTGCATTGCATGAGGGAGTGTGTTGGAGGGGTGGTGGGGGCAGAGGAGAACTTTTGGTGCAGTTCAAATACGTGCCTTTGCAGATTTTACAGGAAACATTGACCAGGTCAGCAGATTGGGAGGGTGGCATCAGAGCCTTCTTCGCTCCATCATTTATCTGCCTGTGGACACAGGAAGTACCAGATCCAGCCCAAGGGAGAGGCGAGGATCTCCCAGGATGCCGTGCGCCCGACTTACAGCATCTGGAGTCCAGACCCAGTCAGGTTGTAAAGCTTGTGGCCAGGGATCGTGGTGGGGGATCCCTCCCACGTGAACGGAAGGACAGAGGAAAAAGGAACGAAGCCGTTACTTTCACTGATGGGATCCTAAAATAGTAACGGTGTTGGGTGGAGGTACGCACACCCGCACCTCCACGTGCCTGTGCTCTCCAAATGCGCCTGAACCACACACAGCTAAGCAGCCAGAGACGAGGAGCCTGCCCCGTGGAGCGACACGCCGGCCCGGGCGCCTGCCTGGATTGCTACGCAGAGAGAAATAAACTTCGCCTTTTGAAGCTTCTGTGATTTGGACTTCCAGTCCCTTGTAACTCACCAAGACAAGCATAGGAGGGGTTATTTTGGTGCTGAGAAAAGTTGAAGAAACAGCAGTCCCGAGTGATTCATTGCAGAAGGGAACTTGACCTCGGTGAGCCTAG